ACCTGCTTGAGATGCAGTGGAAGATGGTCCACGCACCTGAACCTCTGCCACCTGCTTGGGATGCCAGAGTTGAACTCCTGGCTGCTGGATTCATTCTGGCCCAGCTCTAGCTGTTGTGGTCACCACAGAGACCCAGCAGATGGAAGATCTTTGTCCTTCTCAATTGCTCGGTCTCAAACAAATCTTTAAAATAAAAATGGAGATGAACAATTAACACTTTTACACAAAGTGTTCTTACAAGGCCCAAATTTAAAGTTAATATTTAATCTTTTAAAAAATCAATCCAAAAGTTCAAATTTAGAAGACCTTAACTAAATATACAGATATTTTATACTTATTAAATATATCCTTAAGTCATTTTTATGAAATGAGAATGTTAAATTTAAAAAGTGGGATAAAATTGGTTGCTATTTTTGACCTAAAATATTTTATTGGGGAGGTTTTTGTGTATATGATTGAGAATTTGAACAGCAAAGCTGTTATTAGACGCTACTATGAGTGATAAAATCATGTGGTGTCTCGTATTTTAATTCTATTTAAAATTCCCAAATTTGATGTGATGAGCAGGCGGTGCTAAGATGTGAGTGAAAACTCCTGATGTAATACATGAAGGCTATAACATTAACAGTTAAGTTCTCTTCACTCTCCATCAAGACCACTCCCACATAAGGCAACCTGCGCACCCAAGGTCAAGCAGAGAAAATAATTGACAAACGAGACAACCTGGAGGAAAAACACCTTCCAGAGGTTTGAGAACGACTGTAACATCACAGCGACGGACTTTCTTCCTGTTGGAAGTAGACGGAACAAAATACGACAATTGAGGTTTTTTTAAGTTATAGTTAAGTTTCAGCATCTCTTTCAAAAATTCATACAAACATGGAAGCTAAGAACACCTGCCAGCCTGACTGAAGTTTCTTGTTTTTGACAACCTGTTTATTTTTTATTTTGATATATATTTTTGGTTCAGAGACTTGAAGAAAAACATGATGATTCCTTTAAGATAAGAAAAAAAAAAAAAAACAAAAAAAAAAACCAGTCCTGATGAGGCTCATGCTGTAATAAACCCTTGGAGCTGGTTTAGCTCATGTGTACTCCTCAAAGGTCAAAAGCAACAATTCAAAGAGTGTGTGTGAATGCAGGTTCTGGGTTTTCAAAACGAATGATCAAATAATTCGGTTAAGTAAATTTAGTTTTTGCAGAGATTCGCCACCTAATTCCTGCTTCCTTGCTGTCTGAATTTTCCCTAGAGCTCTGATCATAATCATGGAAACAGCAATGCAGACACAACCGCTGGCAGTCCGATCATCCCAGTGCCAGCCACCGTGAACAGTTCTCGAACAGCCCGGAAGGAGCAGTCGCTGTGTGGGGATTTTGCCGCTGGGGAGACGGCAGGACAAACCAACATGCTCCAGTCAGTGTATTTAAGTGGTTTAAAAACTCCAAGCATTTTTCAACTGACAGAAAGGCTGAAACTTTGCTCAGCATATCACATGAGCGCACCGCCTCAGGGAGGCGAATGTCTTGGGGGAGCAGTTTGTCACCTCTCACCATGTTTATGAGGCAGAGCAACGGCAAGGGAGTGTCAACCACACCGTAAATTTGGCAATATAATACATCGAATATCTGATATGATTACCACAGTGCAAAAATTTTCCAAGTTGAAATCAACTCTGGCTTTATTTACTCATCAGCATTCCAATCTAATGAAATAATAAACTTGGCCCATCAACACATAATCCATTTCTTTCATCATAGTAACATTTTTCATGCAAGTAACAGTTTTAATGTCATAATGTAACTGCTGTAAGTTAAATTGATTCAATTTAATTAACAAGCATTTATTTCGCGCCTACCTGTGCACAGCACTGTCCTAGGCATACAAAAGGATGAGAAGATACGGTCCCTGCTCAAAGGGAGCTTACAACCTGTGTAGGAAAGACGACGCGTGCATACAAGAACCACTGAAAATCACATGGAGATAAACATAACTAACGACCTACGCACTCAAGGCAGCCTGTCGTGAAGGCTCCGTGATGGAGAAGCGATGCTATCGGGAAAAGACGATCAGCAAGAGGACTGACAGAATCGTGAGGTCAGAAAGGAGAAACCACAGGAGGGTGACACACATCAGCATGGCCGGTGCAGGGACTGGCAGGGGGACTGGTGTGGCTCCAGAGAGGGGCGGAGTGGAGGCATGCTGCCCAGGCTGGTGAGGGCAAGTGGGCATGGCTGCTCGCGGTCAGGGCTGATGTTCATTTTACAATATTCTTTCAACTCACCGAGACACAAAAGCCCACAAACAGAAGTGTGTTTTCTAGCCTTGACAACAAAGCAACGAAAACTTGTAGAATGCTGAGAGAGTAAGCCCAGGGAAACGGTCACTGAAATTCGAACAGACACACTGTGGGGCAGCAGTCACTTCTGGCATTGGTTCTCTTCCTTACTTGAATTGATGAAGAGCTGGGTTGGTTCAGAGTCAAGAAGCTCGTGAAGGCAGGAGACATCCCCACTCTGCACTCGCTTAGCGACTCAATTCCTTCTCAGGCCAAATCCAGGCTGCATGTATATTTGTGGGAACAGGAGGAAAAAAATATATTTTTTATATATATATATGTTTCTGCTCTCGTAAAAGTAGGTGAGTTCCTTATTTTCTGAGCTTAGACGGAAAAACAGGAAGGTAAAGTCACGCGTAGCTCAAGACAAGGCTGAAGAAATGGGCTTTAGCAAACAAGCATTGTTTTGAAAATTAACCCCCATCCTAGCCTACATAGCTGGGTCACACCAGCAATTTACTGCATTAAAGCAGGGGGGCAGAGCAGGGCAAAAAGCAGTGGCGCAGGAACAGATCTGTAATTGAGAAGAGGTGGAGACCCCTGGTTCACGTGGGACTGATGATGCTTTTATGCAAGAACATGACCTTGATAATCCGTCTGGGGTAGAACAAGGGGTTGTTTCTTCAACAGAAAGAAACCGTCCAGATATCTGTGCGAGTTACTGGCCACCACCAGCTGCGGCTGTTAAAAAAGAGAGAAAGCGCTGATCCAACAAAGGCACATTGAACTCGGTTCCTGCTTAGCTGTCTAAGGGGAGGCTGTCTGAAATGTGGATCTTCCAAAAGTGCCCTACTCTGCTTTAATACTCACCACTTTTCTATTCAAAATGTTTCTATATTTACTTAATAAAATTCTGATAAATTGCAATTACAGGAGAATCAAAGTCTTGCTTTTTTGCAATGCTTACTCACAACTGCAAATGTAATGAACATGGAGATGTATCATTTTCAGATCTTTCCAAAGCCAAGAGGTCCTCGTTGTCCAATAACTACTCAGGGCATAGTTACTGTGAGACTGCACACAGCTCGGGGAAAGTCAGCTAATGGCATGCTAGAACATTGCACCATTATTTCATTAAGGGAACAGTAAGTCTCAACTAGAATTCTTAGCTTAGAATCCAGAACTTTGCACCTACCACTTTAAGCACGAATTTGGTGCTGTCCTGTTACACAAAAGCGCTGCTGGGATGTGTGTTGTATGCTGTTCTAGTTCCCCATCTGCAAAGTCTAAATGAACCTACGCAGCACCCACTACTGTAACCCCTTCTTAGACTTCAAGTCTACAGTCATCACTTCTCAGATAAGGGCTATGGGCTGGACACAATTAGAAAAAGAGATCTAGTTACTGCTTCTCTTGGTGAAGGACTCGTGAAGGTTTGTCTAGGCCACGGAAGTAAGACGCTGGAATGACCTCTTGCCTTCTCCCAAACATGACAGTTACAGAACTGAAGACACGGAAGTGGGAATAAACTCTTAAGAAAGTGACACTGAGAGAGGACAAGCAGTGACTGTTAAAGTAACATCTATTTTAACAGAAATTTTACGTTCATAGTTGAGAAGCAGCACAGTTCACAGGAGAGCTCCACAAAGCTCAGACTTTTGCAGCACCCGGCACCCCCAGACATGAACATTAAGGGGATGACTGTCTCTGTCTTAGGCAGCAAGTTCAGGTTTACGAGTGGAGAAGTCGTACCTCCCGCCCCTATGTAATTCTTCCCCCATGGACTCAAGCGATGCTGGCCAGTCGTCACCTGGACGATGATGGGGAGGGCGCACTAACCCTCCCCTCCCGCGCTCCCGGAAAGGCCCGTGACGAAGAGGGCTCTGTCTGTGTCGGCCCTGCACTTCCTTACTCTGGAGGCTGGCCTTCCCAGGACCACTTGCGTTCTTGTTTCCCGTGGAAATGATCTCCTGATTACCACAGAGGATTGGTTCCAATACTCTTCAGGCACAAAAATTCACAGATACACATATCCCTACCATAAAATGGCACTTTTTAAGTATAACCTACTCACACATTAGACATCTCTGGATTGCTCACACTGCCTAATGCGATGTACATGGTAGGTAAACAGCTGCCAGGATGTACTGTTTAAGGGATAAGGATGTTATTTTAAAATTTGCACATGATTATTCCTAATGTGATTTTATATTAAAAAAAAAATCATGTTTTTGATTGGCAGTTGATTGGATCTTTGGATGCAAATCATGCATATTACAGCTAGGGAGGGCCAAGTTTACTTTATAATTCAGCAGGCTTAGAAAAAGCACAGCTAATGGATTAGAGGAGGCTCCTGGCAGCCACTGTGATGAGCTCAGAGAGACACACCCCTGGGATCTTCCCATTGTCTCCATCCAAGTGTAAAAATAGTCAAAATGTGCAAGGGCGAGTCTGCCTTTGTGTCTGCTATGTGACTTTGGGGTGTTCTCTTCATTTTCTACCAGTATTCAAGGTTAATTTTTTTAAAAAGCTACTGTTAAATTTACATTCCTAAGTTTTTTTTTCTTTCTCCCCTTTTAAAATTCCTCGTAAAACAACCCATCTCCCTGAATATAAAGCGAAGACTTGAAACACGGGCCATGGGACTGTGGACGGAATTGCCCACTTCAGGCAGACCGCCCGCTATCGAACCCTCCATTTGGAGGAACAAAGCAAAGCGGGGAGCACGGCGGCAGCTGAGAAATGAAGCTCGCGCCCTCAGCGCCTCTCACCTGCGCGGGCGGCCGCCATCTTCTTGTTCCGCATCTTGTTCTCCAGCGCTTGCTACACCGGAAGAGACGGGAGCAGCAGTCAGAACTCCTCCCTTCCTCCTCCTTGACACTAAGTAAGACGACGTTTCTGTGAAACGCATTCTTACCATCTTCATCTTCTTTTTGAGATCCAGGTTTGCTGCCTTCTGGCCCTTGGCAGTAGCATTGAGATAATAGATGGTCAAACTAAATGTAGAAAAATAATAAAATAAAAAAATAATAATAAAGCAAAATGCATGCCATCTTTCAGCTCCTCGAGATTCTTCGTAAACTGACGGTGACTAAATCCTTCGATGAGCGCGCAAGGGGGTGCCACCTGTACTGTGTAGGTAGCAGTGAGGGTTCGGCTCAGGACTGCCCAGTGACAAGGACGAGTCCAGGAGGGTCCCAAGCTCCGTCCTCCAGGCTGCACCACTCAATACTGGCTTCCTCTTGGAAACACACTGACATCATATTAAGTTGTAATTAAAAACAACTTCTTAATTTAACAGCAATGGTATCCAAGAGAGGAAAATGTATTGATGCTACATGTCAAAAGAGGAAAGCCACATTCTACCCTAAATTCCCTCCTTTGGCCTTTAAATGGGAACAGAATCCTCACAGGCGTAGTAGATTAATATGGATATTTTCCATAAAATATATTGTTTCCATTTCTATTTCTTCTTGTCTTTATAAAAGAATATGCTTCCAGAAAAAGCAAATTGCAACCTAGCAATTCTGCTAAAAGCAGTACTCTCATCTTAGGGGGAAAAAATGAACAAAGAAAAAGAAATGCTCTTTAAAAATGAAAGTGATACTGCTGTTTGTGGCAAATAGTTGGGTACTGAACACATCTCCTCTACTCTCCAACGTGCCAGATAATATCTTTTATATCTTTTATGGGCCATCTGGAGTTAGCAACCAAATTATTGATACACTTTAACTGGGTTGTCTCTTATATCAGTGGAGGGAGTTTGGAATTACAGACATGCAAGCAGGTATCTAAGGATTATCTGCCACACACACACACACACACACACACACACTGGTGTTCGATAAATGTGTGTGTGTGTTGCAAGGATTTGCCTAGAACTTTCCCTTGATTTGGGTGGCAAAGTCGAAGACCTCAGAAGTCATTTCCGTTTGTGGATTCTGATCTTATCAACACTGGTTCCCTGCCTTGCCATAACTCATTTCCTCATTTCCAAAGGGATCCAAGTGCCTGCGGAGAACTAACCGAGCTCTACTCAAATGCTGCAAAACCATCGAGGCTCATTCTGGAAGAACCACTGGGGAAATTCAAAATGTCTCTTAATTAAAGGTAATAAAAAGCCAAGCCAACCGTATGCGCCCTATAAAAGAAAAAATGAGGCCTCCGGGTGTGAAAAAAAAACCATAAAATTAGTAATAAACTGAAATTTGGACTTTAAATCAGAAGCTCAGAGCTAACACTGGCCCCTCCTGGGTCTCAGCTTGCCTTGCAGGGTGTCCCAACAAGGGGCAGGCCTACGACTTCCAACTCCAGCCCAGTCCCCAGGCTGGTTAGTTTGGTCCATGAACTCAGAACGCTTTTCACATCCTTAAGTGGTTATGTGAGTATTCACTAAGATCCTCAGTGACATCTTGGCCTAAAACATCTGCTGTCTGGTCCATCCGTGACTACCAGCTTGGAGCCCATCCGATGTCTCCACTGAACCAGAACTCAAGTATGTGTAAAAAAAAAAAAAAAAAATCGGTGAGACTGAGAAGGCAGGACTTGAAGTCCGTTTCTCCAATGCCAGCGTCGGCTCCCGGCCTACACCTGCGGCAGACTGCTCACTGTTTAGACAGTGGCATTTGAATCAAGCTGCTCCTCTGCTTACAAACGGGCATCCCTCAGCAAAAAACACCATCACAAAAGCTAGGACGTTTCTACTGTGTGTGCATGTTCTGAACAGGATCTCACTTATGCCACTAAAATGGCCCTGACTCGCAGAGATGCTCAGATATCCGAGACATGCTCTTAGAAGCCACTGCTGTCATGAACGTGTAGAGTACGGAAATCACTTTGATGGCCATCTGGCGAGACACGCTGCACTCGCTCGACAGGTCGTTTCCCAACACACCCAGAGATGTCGTTATCAGATTCTTTAGGTCGCCTCACCATCAAGGGTCTCTAATTTATAAGAGCGATCTGTCTTGCTGTTGATTTTTCCCATCAGCTTTTCTGCATAGAAGACATCCCGGGTTAAGGAAGTGAACATTGGATTCCCTGCCAATGGATTTAACTCCCAGCACTGCCTTTTTAGTGTCTCACGTAGCAGGAAAACTCACTTCCCACCTGCCCTTTCTTAGTTTATAAAATCTATAATGTTGCGTATGACGCCTGCCCCCTCTCTTAGGAGACTTGAGATCGTGGTCACAACCAAGATGACGGTAACAACGTGGTCGGATTCTCAGCTCATTTACTCCAACCCACTGGGAGATGGTGCCCTGGGGATTCCTCCCTTCGCCTTTATCCAAACAATCCTGCCCTTCCCATCAATGCTGTTCCTGAAGTGTCTCTCAGGTGGATTCATCCCTGCCCTTCTTGATTGATGGTGCAGGAGGCACTTTGGGGTTTAAAGGAAGAACTGAGGCACTTTTCTTGGCTTTTCCATAGTAAGTATGTATTTTTATTTTAGAGGCAAGTGTATATGGGTTGACCAAGGCTCCGAAGCCAATAAAAGTTCTATGGGAACAAAACCTCCTGCCAAGTTCTTCCTCAGAAATCACTGTGAAGTGACATTTGCAAGACCCTCTGGTCCTCTGGCTCTATTAGCATAAACACACTTACTGACAGTCTTCTAAGGACACAGGGTAATTATTAAGACCCCTTAAGCTCTTGGTTCTAAAATACAGCTTATGGAGCCCCCCCAGGGGTCACTAACTTGGAGGCTCATCATTTCTGTATATGCACAGCCATCTGCTTTACGGAATAAGAGCTGGGGGGCGGGCTGCGGGGGACACTCCAACATACTGATTAGATTTAGCCCTTAACATTGATGTTTCCCTGGCTTTAGCTGTTTACTGATAATTATTTTGGTTACTTGGGAACAAATCCTATAATCCCGGGGAGGGAAAGCCAGATGCAGATGGCTGTGAATTCCATCCAATAAGATAAGAATATGCCTCATGAATTTCAGCTCTCAAAAACATGTAATCAGCCCTGAATCTGGCTGGGTTACAGCACAGCCCTTGGGGAGGAAAGAGCTGGAATGGCCGACACTCCCGAGGAGCCAGGGAGCACAGCATAAAGACCCTGTCCGCACAGGGGAGGTACGCACGCCATCACCAGCACAACAGCAATGACCAGTCCGGGGTTCGAGAGCTGCCTCAGTATCTTCGCCATCCAGCTGGGAAAGTCATGTTCCAGGGTCTCGCCAATGACTTCGAACATCCGATTTTTGCCACTGAGAAAGAAAAAGGGGGTGGGTGGGGAAAAAAAAAGTATATGGGAACTATGATTAGTTCAAGATCATTAGAAATCTTTCTACGATGCCCGTACTCTGTCACATTAAAAATCTTATACTGAGCTGCAACTCCTAATATTTGGCCCCATGCATTGTCAACACGTGGATAAGATCTGAGAAACGGCGTCCCAGCCGAGGCTATTAAGAAATTAGTCACGGCATTAGAAGACTTCTACAAACTGCATTTCTAAAACTTGGATTGAATATGTTTTACAAGCAGCCCCCAAGCTTGCCCTCTCAGCCAGCAGTTGGAGAATGAACTCTTTGGGCAGAGTAAACATGTTTAGTTTGTAACTGGCTTTGGAAATGAGCACAAAGAATGGCCCGCCGAATAAAAGGCACATATAATCCAATAGCTCTTCCCATGCGATGCTTTCACCCTCCAACACAAAGGGTGATAGCACGGAGAACAGCACGTGCTTCTCTGTGTTCCCTCTGAACGCCACTAGGCCGCGCTGCTGTGACTCTCCAAGGCCACGGAACACCTGCTACCATCGATTGGGAAGGTGAGAGCAGGCTATCTTAACTTAGATTATCTGCAATTTCAATGTCAGATTCACTGTACAAAGCTTTTTGATACATATGTTTTGGAAAAGATAGGGTGTGTTTCACCAAATTGTATGTATCATCAGAATAGAACATTTTCAACTATTAAATAAATACGACCCATAAGTTCCAAATCAGATTTTTTTTTCTCCCTTCAGTCAGAACTAATACCGTCATCCGTCAGGCAGAGGGTGTCATCAGGTATTTTGTCAGCAGTTACAGCACTGAAGGGGACAAATTTTGCTTCAAAGATTATAGATTTATACAATAATTAATAAGACTTAAGATACATAACGGGGGGCGCGATGCAGCCTCCAGATAATAATTTAAGATTAAATTACTTTGATCCAATGCAGCTTCATCATTTTTCTCTGCTAATTGATACATCCCTTACCTGCAGCCACATGGAGCACAGCGAAAGAATTAAAAAGAATCAGAAAGAACCAGAAAATCCATCCTCCCATCTCGGGTCACAGCTGATGAATATGGTCAGAGTAGGGGGCCTAGAACGTTATTAAATCATATCTATTCCAAAAATATATTTTTAAAAAATAAAAAGACTTATTTATTTTTCTTGGAAAGTCCGATTTACAAAGAGAAGGAGAGACAGAAAAATCTTCCAAAATCTTCCATCCACTGGTTCACTCCCCAAGCAGCCACAGGACCAAAGCTAAGGCGATCTGAAGCCGGGAGCCAGGAGCTTCCTCTGGTCTCCCCTGCAAATACAGGGCCCCAAGGCTTTGATTCGTTCTCTACAGATTTCCCAGGCCACAAGCAGGAGCTGCATGGGAAGCGCAGCAGCCAGGACACGAATCATCACGCACGTGGGATCACAGCGCATGCAAGACGGGGGTTTCGGCCACTAGCGTATTGCACTGGGCCCTGCAAAAAGATCTTAACATGGTGTTTCAACACAAAGCCGCCCAAATCTCACATTCTTGGGTCCCCTTTTCCAAACCGAGTCTCGCCAGAAAAATGAGTCAGATGTCTTAATCACTGTCAAATTACAGAAGCATCTCTCAATCCCCAGCGAGCCGTGCCTGGTCACCTGGTGTGCCGTGCCAATATCCTGCGAAGTCCTCTTGTCTCCGACTACGCATGCCAGAGATGCGGCCAGCGTCATCTGCTCCACACATGCGCAGTCTGCGGGGAACGCTTTCTGCTGACCCGGACTGAGCCGTTCTCGGGATCCGAACACCCACTGGGTGTGTGAACCTGCCTCTACACGAACAAGACTGCCCCACCTCCTAGCACGCGCTATCAGTCATTACTCACTCATTAACAAAGTATCGTGCAGGACTGTGTTCTCGACTTACAGAAATGAAAGCACGAGCCGGAAACGTCAGGAAAGTGGACAGGCTGAGGTATAAACCTTGGATGAACAATGCAACAGCAGTCGCAAAGCTGTATCTAGGCAAGTTCTATCTGAACTTGTGCTGAGTAAATGAGCTCAGCTGCTTAAAATCATCATAAAGAGGAAATCAGAATACAAATGCCAAAATGTTGTTATTTTTACTCTTCGAACGATGGGTCATATTTTTTTCCTTAATGCTAAGTTTCCACAATTTCTGGTTTCTCTAGGATAAACACATGTTGCCTTTACAGTAAGATATAAATCACATTATTTAAAAGTAAAATTTCCATTAACAGTTAAGTATGTGAGAAACTAAAAAATTACAAAATGTTCAAAATTCTTGGCATGATTAGCGAAAAATGCCAATTGTCAGGAAATGCGATGGAACAGTAACAATAATTATCTTCATTTGGACACTCCCCAAGTGACCGCTACGACCAGTTCTGCACCGGTCCAAAGTCAGGAGCCAGGAACCTCCTCCATGTCTCCCACACGGGTGCAGGGTCCCAAGGATTTGGGCTGTCCTCAACTGGTTTCCCAGGCCACAGGCAGGGAGCTGGATGGGAAGCAGGGCTGCCAGGATTAGAACCGGCACCCATATGGGATCCCGGCACATTCAAGGCAAGGATTTTAGCCACTAGGCCGCTGCGCCAGACCCCGAATAACCATTCTTTTGTTCCAAACTGAGGAAAGCGAGAGGAAAATGAACCAAGTACTATGAAGCTACGTTCTCCCCAGTGTTGGAGTAAAACTATTTTAACTTTCTTGATCTCAAAATAGTACCACTGGTGCAGTAATTTTACCTACATTTGTTAATAAGGACAGTCCAGGTTCAAATCGGATGCAATGCCTTACACAGACTCACGGGTTTGCAGTAAGAAGCTTGAGTAACTCAGTGTACAGCAAAAGGAGTTACTACTTAAAGAGTGAAACCCGCACCATCATTGTGGGGCTTACTCATCAGTGTTTTAAATCCAAATGCAGCTGTGTAGCCACCAGCCCATTCCTTCCTTACACTGTGTGGTTTCCCTAGCGATCACTAAAGGCATTGCTACGTTTTACTGCGCAGGATCAACTTTCAGTTAAAAAACCTTAAAACGCACCTAAAAGTTATCCTAGATATTAAGTGGTGTGAGTAATTTGCAACTGAAGTCTTACAGCAGCATCTCTCATACTTGCTACTCAGTTACCAAACAAGACAAATGCCTCCTTCTCGACTGTAATTTCAGCTTTAGCCACCAGATGTCACTGTCCGCATTATCCACTTCAGCCAATACACATATACGCACGCTGAAGTGAAGAATCTTGTCAACTGCCATTTCCTGAGCATAACAGAGCTCCAGTTAGCCTAGCTCCATCAGCTTCATACATGCCTCTCTTTATACTTGGTCTGTGGACTTTAACAGCCTGAGAGGGACAGATGAAAAGCAAATTGCACGTCGCCACGCTAGCTCCACGCTTGCCACTCACAGGGTTTTTCACTCTCTCCTCTACTTCACAGAATGGAGAGAGCGGAACTACCTGCTGGCTGGTGACAGCACCCAGAGACTCTTGGGGACATTTGCACCACATGAATGTCCAAGGCTCTTCAGGAAATGAAATCTTTTAAGACCTCTAGGACTTTGCTTTCTGTAACGTGTCATTACGAAATCTCTGTCCCGAGGAAGAGAAACAAAATACATGTCCAACTTGAATCCCAGAACCTTCCTGATTCCTGGCCACTTACTAGAGCGATAGTTTTGTGATTATATTTAAGGAATTGCATTTAACCTTTGTACTAGCATCTAGCATTTTGAGTAACTTTCTACTTATTCTTGCTTAACAATGATTTCACTTGCTAGGTAACCTATGGGGACATCTCCTTTCGAGGTGGTGGTCTGCGTGAGGACAACACTGTGATTGTGGCTGAGCGTGATGGGCCGACACCAGGAAAATTCCCACACCAGCGTCAGTGTAATGGCATCCTGTCCGTTGCTGCATCCTGTGATGGAGATGGCTCAGCTCCACCAGTCACACGTCACTCAGGAAGAACTTACAGCAGCACAAATTACTTTCCTTTTTACAATTTCCAAATGAGAAAACAGATGTCCCATAATGAGCAGAGTGGCCAAAGGATATCATTCCTCTAACCAAAACGCAATTGTACACACACACACACACGCGGCCATCGGCGCCTCCACCCCCCAGGACACACGTGCACACACTGCACCTCGTCACCTGAAAGGGCCACAGTCGCACCCCCAGAACACACGTGCACACACTGCACCTGGTCACCTGAAAGGGCCACAGTTACACCCCCAGGACACACGTGCACACACTGCACCTGGTCACCTGAAAGGGCCACAGTCGCACCCCCAGGACACACGTGCACACACTGCACCTCGTCACCTGAAAGGGCCACAGTCGAAGGACGGCGGGAGGGACACAATCATGTACAACACCGGCATGGTGGACAGGAAGAGGATGAGCAGCAGCATGCCCAGGTAGAAGTTGTTGGAGCAACTCGCCTTGAAGACTCTGGCCTCGGGGACGTTGCAGCACATCACGGCCCAGCACTGGAAGTACATGGACGTGTGCAGACGAAGGATGTTGATGCCCGGGAGACTCGGAGCAAAGAACGACCCCATCCTGCAGGGAGACAGGGCCCGGCTCCTTCTGAGTCCTGTCTCCTCGCAGCGTCACGCAGGGAGACAGGGCCCAGCTCCTTCTGGGTCCTGACTCCTCGGCAGTGTCACACAGGGAGACAGGGCCTGGCTCGGAGGGAGACAGGGCCCGGCTCCTTCTGGGTCCTGACTCCTCGCAGCGTCACGCAGACCTGCACATTCACCAGCTGCTTCCTCTCAAAAGGCGGGAATCGTATGACTGCTTTCAGCCGTGCCTTTTACATCAACCTATTTGCATCTTGCACACACATTCTACAGTTCTCCTGTTATTACAGGGATTGCATACATAATTCTTGTGCTATTAGCAACTATCCCTGCTGTCATTAATAAAGTAGAACAGGATAAGCAATATGTTATAATTGTTTCAAAATCCAATACAAGTTTCATTTCTCTTAATAGGCACATCAGTGATTAACAGACTTACTACATGTAATATTTTTATAATTGATTCTTAAACTCACTCATTCCAATCAAATGAACTATAAATTTGGATTCATTACTTTTGTCATAGTTGTGCTTTTCTGTTTAGATACTATTTGTTCTTTGTAGCTGCTGAAATGACTTATAACTCATTGGTCATTTAAAGCTAGCTTAACTGTATATTTTTAGTATGAAAATTTCATATGTACATCTAAATTCAGCTCAAATATTTAAATTTGTGCTTTAGTCTTAGCCACTGATTTTTTTTTTTTTTTGCACACAACTTTTAAAAACTATTTTTTAAAGTGACATTTTTAATCAGAAAACCACTTGGGTTAGGTTACTTTTATTAGTGGCCTCAACGATTATCTCAACAAAATGTATTTTTATTTTTTATAAGAAAATCAGTTAGCAGCACAAAGGAATACAAGCAGTAATGTGCAAGTCCCAAATCAGAATGAAGGTATATATGAACTTGTTTTACAAATATAAGCAGAACCTTATCTTCTCAACTGTCCCAAGTACAGAAACGCTCGCAGCATCACTACTTTAGTATTGTATACTCCTTGCACATGCAGAATCACAGAGTAATCAATGCAATGTAAGTGCAATGCATTGTGGGGAAATTTCTGAGTTAAGCAAAGAAATTAGTTTCTGCCATAACTGTATTTATGCCAACCCAGATATAACTCACTCTTTGGTGGGTGAAATCGTGTCATGATTCGGGTTGTCATGCTGACAGAATTGTGAACAGCAGGTATGAAGGATATTTTAGTACACCAAATCAATCAAAACCTTTCTAAGATATTAAAGTATAGATATCTTTATAAGAGGATGGATTTTTAACACAGCCAAGTATGCCATTGCTACAGGGCAGCAAGAGGAGAGACGGAAGTCCAAGAAAGCCAGCAAGTAGATGAGTCATAGTCAGCTGATAGGCCAGAGCTGCGAAGCCCTGAACGACAGCCCCAACTGCCACTCCTCCTGGTGCAATACACCTGTGTAAAAGTCAGTCTTGGCCATATGGCTTCCTTCAGAATAAAACTATAATGAGGAGACCAGCACGGTAGCCTAGTGGCTAAAGTCCTTGCCTTGCACGTGCCAGGATCCTACATGGACTCAAGTTCTGGTCCTGGTGGCCCCGCTTCCCATCCAGCTCCCTGCTTGTGGCCTGGGAAAGCAGTCAAGGACAGCCCAAAGCCTTGGGACCCTACACCTGGTTGGGAGACCTGGAGGAGGCTCCTGGCTCCTGGCTTTGGATTGGCTCAGTTTTGACCGTTGCAGTCACTTGAGGAGTGAATCATCAGATGAAAGAGCTTGCTCTCTGTCTCTCCTCTCTGTATATCTGACTTTACAACAACAAAATAAATATCAAATATGTATATATGAAATATTTCACTATTGGATAGAAATTGCACATTTCTGTACTATTTTTCACTCTCTTCTCTCTGCTGCTACTGTCACCAGCAAAGTTTCAAACGGACCTTATTCCATCCGTGTGAATTGTTAAAGTGAAGCTATAAGAGCCAGAGCTCTACCCAATGCACACTGAATGCATTCTTTTCTTAAGCCACTAGAATTAGAAACTGAGTGTCCTGGCTGCCCAGCTTGGTTGATGCTAAGACATAGGTTTGTACATAATTCAAAAACGGCCTTGAGGAGAGCCACATACAGTTACACATACATATGCATTGCTTGTCCATGTGCGTGAATGCATGCAAATACAGTATATGGATTCACAGCAACAAATAAATTAAAAACACTACCACACATAGATATTTTGTACAGATTACTCAAAAGTCATAATCCAGGGGGAAAAAAAGGTCCAGGCATCCTAACAGCTGGTCTCAATGCTCCTCCTCTCTTTGCTCACGACTCACTCAGCAGCTCAGCTCACTGAGTCCCTCCCCCGGTCTTGACTGCATCATCTCTCAGTTATAACTCATTCTAATACCTTAGCTTTATAAAGTGCTTTACTTCCAAGAAGATCAAAGCAAAAGAAAACTTCTTTTGTTTAACTCCCCTATTGCTCCAGTGACAGGTATATGTCAATTACTCACATGTGACAACTGAGAGAGAAGTGGCAAGGCTCAGAAAGCTCCCCAGTCAGCAGCACAGAAACGTGCAGAACTCTGCGTCTCTCTCTACGCGTTCTCTGCTGCCGCTCTGTCTCCTGCCTGGATAAGGATAACATGTGCTTTCCTTGTTTAAAAACACCACTGCAGGACCTTATGGTGCCATGTAAACATGAAATACAAACGTTGTTGATCATTTCATCCAAATCACAACAGATTAGATTTTCCCTGTGAATGCTGACTTCCATCATATCTGCAAAAAATAAGTTCTACTGTTCAGGAATTCCTAAAACAGCCACTCAGAATCTCCAGTCACAAAACAAAGGGCTTGAACACGAAAACTCTATACCATTTTTTTTTTCTATAAAATGGTTAAACTTAGATATCAGATCCTTATGCTTAAAAAAAAATGTAATTGTCTGTCCTGAGGAGCTTGTTTACACAGAGCCTCTGTTTGCACTTTTCCTCATTACTCGCTGCCTCCACCAACTGCCTCACCAACTCCCCGGGAGTTTCAGAAGCACGTCTGGATTGATGCGAAGGTGAGTAATGTGATGACGCTCTGGAAAGTACCTGAATAGCTGCGCCGTCAAGAAAACCCATACTGTCATTCGAACGTGCTCTGCAGACCAACCGGCATCAAGCCTGGTCGTTGTCTCAAGAATGAATACAGAGAAACCGACCCAGCAGAGACTTGGATAATGGGTCCGTCTATGAGAGACTGGAATCTGGAAAAGGTGTACAGATCCACTAGGAATTTCAATAGGAACAATAGTGGAAAAACACTACAAAACTACACATTTAGACCAATCAGGATAGCAAGGACAACAGCTTCTCTGACAATAAAAATGAATTTCGAGGCCGATCTGTTGTCTTAATTCTGGAAGAACACAGCGGACAGTGCACGCAGGAGGTTCGTGCCCTGTTCTATGCAAAGCCACTGGTGTGGGGCTGTGACTTCTCACTACTCCATCAGCTTTATTTGCCATTTTCTGCCATGACAATGAATCCCCTCCAGAAAAAGGAATATAAGAAATCAAAGGACGTGTTTCCCTCTACTGTTCCTGTCAGTGGTCACCTTGACCTGTCTCCTTGCTCAGAGAGTCACAGATATATTTGATTCCTGAATGCCTCTCTGAACGGATGAGCCATAGGTATAAAACGCAGGTAGCGAGGAGGTGCAATTACATGTTCATGTCTGATAACAGAGGCAGACATTCAGCACAGTGGTTAAGATGCTACTCAGGGTGTATTGGTTTGAATCCAGGCCATCTTCCTGATCCCAGAGTCCTGTTCACTCACCTGCTAGCTGGCAGGTGACACATCAGGTACATCCATGACACCCACGTGGGAGACACAGGTTGACATCTGGGCTGCTGGCGTCAGCCTGGCCCAGTCCTTGTTCAGTTACTCAGTGAATAACTCAACAGACGCAAGATCCTTCTGTATCCCTGTCATTCCTTGTGACTCTCTACCTTTGAAATAAAATGAATATAACTATATTTCTACAAATTGAAAGAAAACTGACAATAGTGGAAATCATCTCTCAATAGCATCTGATTTTCATATTAATCCATCTAGTGAGCTCCAGGAATTTGGCAAGCCCCATGGTGTGATGATGGGGCCATGGAGAGCTGTCTTTATGTCGCTTTGACAAAGATGGTTCTCACATTTTTCCAGGGAGTCCAGTCTCAACAGCATGCCAAGTTTGGATAATTAAGGCCAGGTAAGGTTGAAGGATTTGAGTAACACACAGAGAGTTTGTTCAAAAACCAAAGCTATGCTTGTAACGAGGACCATGGCACAGTACTGTATTGGGCATGTAGCCCCAGAATAAAGCAGCTCAGTTGAGACTGCTTCTGGGTTGCGGTGTTCTTAGTTAAGAGTGACACGTTTCTAAGACACATAGTTCCCAATTGAACTGGAGGTGATGATTCAATTTTTAAACTCAAAAATGATCTCTGCTGTGTCAAATCATCTTAACCTGACAGGGTTTATAATGAGAGTTTTTTCTTCTAGCAAAGATAAGACGGTCTTTTGCACATCACAAGAAACAAGTCTGATAGGCAAACGGCCCTATGAAAAAGCTGTAATATAAGGACCACATTTTTTAACTTGACCTTCCTAAAGCATGCTTCATTTTTTTACACAACTGAATTTGGTAAGATACTTTTTACAAAATAGCCATAAATTGCATTGTAAGTCTATTTAGTAAGAATAATAAAGCAAAATCAATTTTTTAGAAATGTCTTGTTAATTTATTTTATTTAACAAATGGTAATGTGATTCTTCATATTTCACAGTTAGAGCCTGGTATCACAAGTTATAAAAATATGAGTCTTCAAATAAACCTGCTGGCCAGAACATACCATTTGGTGAAGATGCACTCTGTCAGAGGAGAGAGACCCTCTGAACATCAGGATTTAAAATACAGGAAAAAAGTAAACTCGAATGTTGAGTTACACACAGATTTTGTTCTCCCCTTAGATGAGGCTATGGTACATGACCCTGAGGTTTCAAACAGTGATGCACCATCCAGCTGGCTTACCAGATCATGCCTTGGTTGAAGATCAGCGCCAGGACATTGCCACTGATGTCAAATTCCGTGTAGGAAGGCTAAAGGAGACACAGATGTTCATCGGGTTAGCATCGCAAACGAGGACACTGAAACTCCAGTGGCTCTGCCCAGACATGAGCAGGCTCTCAACTGCTCTCCTTCAGCAACAGCCAAAATCAGCATGGTAAAGAAGAAGGCCTCCTGCAGGCACAGCAAGACTCATCAGAAACGCTGACATCCAACTCGGTCAAAGTATGGCCAGGCACTACCTAATACACTGGTGGGGAAAACAAAAACCGCAACAGCCTTTCAGCAAACCAATCCCATTGCATATATTAAAAGCGTCCGTGATGCCACGCTCTAAGTCGGCTTCCAGGATATTGTGGTGCTGATACGGTCATCTCCGAAGCCGGACATCTTTATCAAGGAATAATGACATCATCTACGTGTCCAACGCTGGCCCAGTGAGAGCAGCACATCTACCCTACGACTACAGGGCAGCCAACTGTGAGCACCTAAAAATATCTACACACACGGATGGAAAAATGCTGTGATCAAACTGTACATCCTTTTTAAATCAACTATACATGATGCTTTGAATAAAGCCTTGGAAGTAACCAGTAAATTCACAGCTTACAGGTAGGTCGTGATTAAGAAATTTTATTTTTTGTGTGAATGAATTTTATATATTTTTTAAATTATATTTTGGAAGGAACATGAAGTTTATAATAAAAAATATATAGTTTAAAAATGTAACAAAAAAGTTTCAGAAATGATCCAGCCAAATGCCCAGTCTCCATGTCTGAGAGTGCCATCAGGGTCACATATGCAGCCACAGAGTTATTCTTTGTGCAGGGGCACAAAATACCAACTGTACTGAAGTGGACATCCGTGCTGGGCTGTCCTGGCTGGAGTGTTCTTGGTGACGCCTGAGGCAGCCCAGCCGGAAACCCTCCGACCAGTCAGGTGAACCATAATTACAAATACAGTGAAACAAGCTCCTACTTAATTTATAACTGAGAATTTAGAGGCTGGCTGATTGGTAAGAGAGTAAGAGAGCAGCAAATATGACATTGCAGGGTCAAGACAGACCATGGCAGAGAAGCCTATCCTCCAAGGAGTACCTTGAACTCCATAAAGTGTAGGTGTGGCTCCTGAGTAAAATAACCATGGTTAAGCATCACAGTGGAATCTAACATGATGGCAGTTGATCAGACATGGGCTTGACAGCCAGCTCAACCCAGAACAAGCTATATATCTTTTAACATACTGACTTCTCCTACACTTCAGATTTCTATAAATTGAGAATAATGATGCCTACTTCACAGAAATGCTTGCATAATTATAGTCAATAGGGTATGTGAAGTATTTCATAGTTCTGACACATAACAACTGTGACAGACAAACATAAAATAACAGACGGGCATCCACTCCAACGGTCTACCAATTGCATGCCTCTTCCTTATGCATAATCTCTAACCCCTCTATCATATCTCAAGGAAATTCACCATATTTTTGATTTATATAAATTTACTAAAAACCACCTTACAATTGTAAACAAAATGCCAAGTTTGAGCATTTTCTTATTCCTTGATCAGTGTTCAGTTCTGTATCTTCTTGGATATTCTGTATTCTGTTTGCCTTTATGAGTAAGAATGAGGTCAGAACAAAACCAGAGCAACAGTGAAGACACTCTGCTTTGTGTTACTGCAGAAAACCTAAAGATCTTCCAGTAGGTCTCACCTTGCTGACTCATTCTGCATGAGTCAGTAGATCCTTTAGAACAACCGAGAACTCCCACGTGCAGAGATGTCTTGGAAAACCTTGATTTACATTATGTGATCTGATAATTTGCCCCAAGCCAGTAATAGACCCACCTAAATTCTTGCTCATAGGTTTATAATAACAATATTTGGCCATAAATTTGCAATTACGAAACAGGAACACTTTTTAAATTAAGTACTATTTGTTTATCTGTAAGTCAGAATTACAGAGAGAGAGGGCGCAACAAAGATCTTAAAAATCACTGATTTCCTCCCCCAAATGATAAAATGGCCAGGGCTGGACCGGGCTGAAACCAGGAACCAGGAGCTTCTCTGGGTCTCCCACGTGGGTGTCAGGGTCCAAGTGTTTGCACCATTTTCTGCTACTTTCCTAGGTGTATTAGCAGGAAGAGAGGCTGGAAGTGGAACAGCTGGGACTCCAACTGGTGCCCATATGAGATGCTGGGGCTCTGGGTAATGCCTTAACCTGATGTGCCACAGCACCAGCCCCCGAAACAGAATCACTTTGCACCTAACTAACACAGATGAAATCTGTAGTATGTAATTCAATACATGTAACATGTTTTTGTCTAGCAGTGTACTTATTCTGGTTGCATAAACTTCTAAATTTGAATTCGTAAGCAATTCTGCACAAGTTAAACGGGCATGTCAAAATTGTACTCTCTTGTCCCATAGATTTCTGAATCAACTGTTGGAGGTACATGGTTTCTTGTAGAGGTCGTGCTTGCTTTTTTAACAGGCGAGTAGAGCAGGATTTTTGTCTCCTGCTAACACCTGCGCCCCTTATCAAAGCACCTGGGCTTGAGTCTTGGTTCTGCTCCAGCTTCCTGCTAATGGGTCCTCAGGTTTGCAACAGCCATGCTTCGGTTTCCTGTCTGGTTTATGGACATTCACGTGGGAGGCTCAAATTGAGATTTCATTTCCTGGCTTCAGCCTGGTCCAGTCTTAGCTGTTGGGATATTTGGAGAGTAAACAGAGTCTCTCTCTCTCTCTTTCAAATAAATGCATTCTTTAAAGAATAGTATTGAATAAAAATCAATAGTCTGGGGAACAGTCATGGCTAGATGAAAACCGCCAGTAATCCATGTGGCAACTTGTCCACTGATCCATCTGTATACACAGAATAATATATGTGTGTTTATAAAGACATTTTTGTAACAACAAAAAGAAAAGCAACATGCCTTCTTCTGTGGTAGAAACTGCTCCGTTACTTCCTGTACCCAGGTCAGATCTCTCTTCCTGCCTGACAGCTTTTTTCTGGAGCAGGTCATCCATTTCTTAGTCTAGAGAAATACCCTCGGCAGCCTTTTCTCCTCCAGAAATAACCCTCTCTCCGGTTTCCACAGCTACACCTTTCTGGCCTAGGCTTTGTGGTTCGGGCTCTGTGTTGAACTCATCCCTCCATTGAGAACAGCTCCTTCCGTATCTGGAAATCTTGACCCTCCCTCAAGACCAGACTCCACTCCCCCCCCCCTCCCGCCCACTTCTACTGCAGCATGCCTTTCTTCCTCTTTTTTAAAGGCCAACAGCAGTCCGTTCTGCCTGCGGCATTTACTTTCCACATTCTTTACTGCCACTGGAGTCTTGCCAGATGAAAGGGGGCATGAAGAATGAGAGGGACTGGAGAATGAATGTCCACTCTGCAGAGGACACTGATGTCCCAGGCCATGGCTTTCCCCCCGGCGATATGAGTCTAATGTTTTCAAGCCTTTCAAGATGTCAAGAAAAGTAAAAAGTTCACCTAATGTTATGTTAAAGCTCCCAGGTCTGAAATACTGTGTCTTTAAATAAAATACTCTGAAAACCAACCCCCTGCATCCTGAAAAAGATGCGTAGTGGATGAGTTTGCCTTGCATCCTCCACAACTCTGAATTCCTTCATTATCACCTAGTTTAGAGCTTGTTCACAGCGTTCTGCCCCGAATATGCTCTCAACCATATAAGCCACCCACTGGACGAGTCCGCCATGATAGGATCCACGGCAAAGACCCAGCACCCAACATTAATGTTTTAACAGCTGTTTGATCTGCAGCTTTTCTCAAAGAGCCTTCCAAAGGTAGCAAAGAGATTTTTTTTCTCTCTTTGACCTAAAACAGGAACTCGCCTCCTGCTCTTTGTACTAACTCGGGAACACTGTCAGTACTCAATAAATAATAAATTACACTTATTTAATTACAGCTTTTATGCATCCAGGTCATGTTATATTGACTTCACAGTTGCAGTTAAATATTCTACCACTTAAGGGGAAAGCAGTCAAGAACGCAAGGCCAGCAGAAGCCAAGTAACAGTCCAAGAAAGAAATGGCAACTATGATATTTGCCTTGGAAGAGCTGAATCAGGCAAAGAAAATAGAAATGAAACGCAGCCAGATGGATACCTCATAGCACGGAATGGGAAAGCAACATGCTAGCATCCTGGATCTACAGCATTACCTCACTGCTGTTCAACAGAGCGCGCTCCCTGCCTGCATCTGGCTCATCTGAGGAGGCGCATCGGGGAGATGACCTAACTCCAGGCACCACCTCTAAGTCAGACAGCCGGGCAGTGGCTTCAGCCTCAAGTCTTGAAAAAAACTGGTGGAAGTCCTACTTGTCTGTAGTCTAGACGGCACGGGCTTCAAGAGGTCATCGCTGACGAAGGACACTGTTTCAAAGTTAGGACAGAACCATCAATGACTCTATGCTAGAACTGACTCTGGACACTTCCTGGTAAGAAGACAGAACACTGTCAACACAAAGCGTTGCCATCAGCCAGTCCTCCTGTCCTGTCACCTGCAGCACTCAAATGACAGACTTCATGGGCCTCTGTTTGTATGGGACTTTCATTCTGACAGAGGGGATCAGAAAGTGAGAGCTTCTTTCTAAAACACAATGGCAAATGCAAACAAAATAGCAGGTTGAGAGGGAGAATGCCTTAAGGGCTGCATGCGTTTGGAGAGTGAGTCCCTGGAGGAATCTAGTCACTACAAGCCCCAGCTCCGTGCTTCCCCTTGAGGGAGAAACAGCTGAAACAAGTGCTAACATCATCCTTCCTTCGAGTTTAAAACCAAAGAGTGCCCATGTTTGTGGACTCTGTGCAAATAACTGCAAAGCGGTGGGTAGCAGATGATCTCAGTGTTAGATTATGGCCACCGACCGCCCGCCCGCTTGGTGAAATAATATCGGCAAGTTGTTCAGAGTTGAGATGGAAGCTTTATTGGAAAATCCGCTCCTGGGCCCCCTTCGCGCAGAGGGGAAGGAAGAGGGAAGCGAAAAGGGCCTCTCAGACACGTGTCTG